TAGAGTATTTCTAGATATTTTTAATATAACTGATTCAATATTATTAGTTATTAATTAATAATCAATAATAATAAAAATTTATTAATTACATTAACATTCTTGCTCGCTATATATAAAAATATTTTTAAAATGATTCTAATAAATTGTAATAGATTAATAAAATTCTAAAATTAATAAACTATTATATTATATAAATATAAATAAGATATTAATATTTTTAAAAATTTTAACATTTAAATATTTAAAAATATTTGTTTGGAATCATCATTAATGATAAGATCGGATGTATTTAATTTTGCTTATTGAACTACATAGGATAGTATTGTAGATGGATGAGAAACTGTTATTATATCATTATCTACGAACGATAAATTGTATGATAATTCGTTGACTGATTCTTTTTAAATATATCAATATTTCGATTTGATATTTGTATATTATTTTTTATTTCTTTTTTTTTAATTTCTTTTTTTTAATTTTTTTTAATAATTTAATCTATAATCTTTTTATATAATATATTATATTTTTATATAATATTATATAATTTTTTCATATTTTGAAGATTTTTCAATTTTTTAACATTTTTTAATTTTCAATTCTTTTTATTCAATTTTTGTTATTCTTGCGAATTTAATGAATGTAGCGTTTTCATTCTTTTTGAAATCGATATATTAAAACATAATATATTATACTTGTGTTTGTCATTTTTGCTCAAGATAAAGTAGATATCTGCATAAACATTCGTCATTATCTGCCCACTAGCGTTTAAATTTTGAATTAAAAGTTAAATTTTTTACTAGAAGTTTCAAAGTTTATTAGAAAATAATAAATAATAAGTAAGTAAAATTTATCTATTTATAGTAAGAAAAATAAATTGAAACGATTGCTATATAAGTTTAAAAGAATATATATTTTAAGAAAAGTTTTTAAGAAACTAATAGATTTATAAAAAAATTGCAAATCTTATCGTTTAATGGTAACGAAACATCTATTAAATACTTTTTTTTTACTCTATTTAGAGATCATAGCAGAAAAGTACTTTCATTTAATTTCTCCAATATTGTCGTTATTTTATTTTCTTTAAATAAAAAAGTTGTAACATCGAAATTGCTAACATAAATTGCAGACATTTTATTTTTTTTTCTTCAATTTTAATGACAAGTAATGAATTTACTTGTAAGAGATAATAACCTAATTAATGTATGAATTTTTCAATTTGATGTTTATTTGAAAAATTATATCGTTGCTTATTTATTTTTTTCAACAAATCAAACACGTGATCAGATTATTAAATTATCTAATTAAAAGAGTTATTCTAATAAACTTTTAATCTGTCACGAAGAAAAATTATAAGAAAATTATAATGTAGCATTTTAAAGCAAAGATAATTTTTATATACAAAAAAGTTTCGATTTTTGAAGTATAATATTTTACATTTAAAATATGATTATTCATGTTACAAAGATCATTAATACATTGAAATTATGATATCATTTCTTTTATATTTATAAATACTTTTTAATCGATCCATCATATAAATAAAATAAATTTGCATCACGTTGACAAAGTAATAAATTTTAAAATATCGATTACAGATTGTTTTTTTAGGAACATTTTAACGAAGAGCTAAAAATCCTAATCCAATATATATCGATTGTCAAACGAGTGACTATATGACTATTGTAATGCAACAAGTTAATGACACAACCGACATACGCCGATATCAACGCAACTCATGGTTAGTGGTCATTGCCAAGGTTGGATCGTGATATCTTGCATAATGCTTCGGTATTCTCTACGAAAAGCGATGAAGGAAGATACGTTGCGGAAGACTTTGTACACGCGATTTCTATTAGTCTTGTCGTTGTTTCCTCACGCGAATCGATCTTCAATTATACTTCTGAGTTTTTTTTTTCTCCATCGTGTCAATTACCCGCAACTCATGCGACACTGATTGCCTCTGATAATAATAATTCTATCATTCGTCTCTCGATTCTGACCTGCACAACTTGATTCTCATTGATTAATTTTTTAACAAAATTGTATCAAAATTTCCATGAAATATAATATATATCAGAATTAGATTAGGACGAGATACGTATTTTAAATTACCCCGATATTATTTTCATTTGATCTATGATAAAAAATAATTAATATTAAACATTTTTTACATTCTTACGAGCAAAAAAATATTAAAAGCCTAAAATAATTTTTATCTATTATGAACTATTTGTTGGAATACAAAAAAAAAAAATAAAAATAAAAATAAAAAAAATATTGCTTCGTTTTAATTTGCGTCTTTTTATCGATTCATAGTGAATAACAACATAATTATGTATTTACAATTATATGATGCAATACTACATGTGTTTCAAGAGACCAACACACCGTAAATCTTTTAAACTTTGAGATATTATCGTTTACTGATAATTATATTACTTATACATAACTTATTAAAAAAAAGTCAACTGTCGTTCTTAAATTTTTAATAGATTTATTGATATTTTGATTTTTGAAATTTCCTCTTTTTTTTTTTTATTCCATTTATTATATATTCACTTTTTCTTATTCCTTTATACTCTTACCGGCATCATAATGGCTCTATTGATAATATATTCCTTTGAAGATGAATATATCTAATCTAATGATACTAATGAATACTTAGCGGAATATTTTCATATTAAAATCATAAAATATTAAAATCAAATTCCTTATATAATGCGTATTAATCATTAAATTTAATACGCTAATTTATTTTTAACAGATATTTAAATTAGCCATTCGTTCTATTACTTAGAAACACTCGATGAAGAAGTTGATGTTTTAACAATGAGCATAATTTTGTTGAATATACTTTGGATGACTTTAAGAGAAAGTTTCATTCCCTTCCATTGACTTAGAAAGCGTCTATCTTGCAATTTGAATGGTCGTAGCTAAATCTAATGCTTTCAGTAAATCCTTTCCTTTCAGAATTCGCTTAACTTCTCCGCCGTTATCTATCTACGAACGCGAAAAGCAATCATCATATCGTGAATATAACGAGATAAATTGTATATTTTTCAATAGAAAAAAAATCGCGTGAATCGATGGACATCAATAAGTCAATCAAAATACGTTATTCGATTAATAGAAAGGGAAATTAAATATTATAACGCATATTTTCACAGTTTCGACGATAATATTATAATAATTATTAAACATTTGATAATGTCATTTGCGATGAATTATCACATTAAGAAAAAAAAGAAAAACGTGAAATGAAACCTTCGTGAAAAATTTGCCAAAGCTTCGAGATCCCAATAATAATAATTCGTAGCATTGAATCGACTAACTCGATCGTGCGATTTATCATCGAAATTTGTCGATTAGCGTAATATCTCGGTTCTGATATGAATGAATCATTTGCTTGTCATTAATTTTTTCTATTAAAAAAAAAAGTGTATTAATTATCATCAACGACGATTAATTATAATTGCTTCGATTAATTTTTAACATCTCGAAACTGAGATTTGAGACTTTTTCGTTGATTTTTTTAGATAACTTTTATAGAAGGACAAATAAGTATATAATCGTTTTGCGTTTAAAACGAACGGAAATTGCTTTTTTTTTTTTTTCATTAAAATATATAAAACTTATTATACACAATTACGTTTCATTTATTATTATTAGTTACCACAATACGTTACATCGCGCCTATCATTGTTGCATGAGAACACTGCATAATGATATCGAATCATAAAAAAATTAATACATTATCCGTTTTCCAGAAATCCCTCTTTTCTTCTTCTTCCTCCTCCTCTCCTTCTTTTTTCTTTAATACACTTTTATTTCCCAGCGTATAATTATCGAGTTAATCGTTGTTTTGATAAGACCGCGTAACGTTTCGTTTCATCACGTGAGAAAATTGTTATTGTTTATTAAATTAAATTTAAATTATTATTATATTAATTTATTTAAATTAAAATTTTATCTCTCCTGTTTCATATCGAGTGGAAAAAAAAAAAAAAATTTAATATGGAAAAGAAGATATGCATAAGAAGAAGACGACGTTCCTTTCCGTCTCTCGAATTTCAATCCGCTCTCTTAAACGTCGCGAATTTCGAAACGAGAAAAAATTAAATAATGGCGGATTAAAGTGACGCGTTGAACGATTTTCTCCCTTCCCTTGGCCCCTCCGGGAAACCGGACAGATTTGCAGCAAATACTGATTATCCGATTCTTCCGTGCGCAGGAATCAAAAGATATTACACCACACCTTGTCTTGTCTCAAGGTTCCGCTTATGTGAACGTAATTTTCACAAACATGGTAACTGCGGCGATACGTAAATTGTATGAAGTAAGAAAAAAAAAAAAAATCTAAAGCATCGATCGACATCGTGTCACGTATTGATCCTTACATATTTTCACGAATTATTTTATCGAAACGACGACGATTAAACACGATTAATGATGATGTTACCATTCACAAAAGCAAAACATTCCAAATATTATTAATTGTCGTTTCAATACGTCTCTCGTTCAAAACGTCGCTTCGTTGTATA